CAGGTATGTGATATTAAATGAACACATCTCCCACGGAGGGGTGAAATGCTCTTGTTGCCTAGTGATACAGTTCATGCAGGTTATAAAACTTAATGCAATTGCACGTTTTCACAATCCATTTAGATCTGTGTATTTACCTCTAGACACTTGGTAAGATTCATTGTGACAGTGTCTGGTTCATTTCTCAACATTCTAATACCGAGTACAGTGTTAATCTCAACAATCCTATCACTGATACTAGAAATGCCAAGTTCCTTCCTCATGTTAAGAACTTTTGTAGATCTGGGACAGCCAAGAATAATCCTGAGAGCTTCATTTTGCATTAACTCCAAGGGTCGGAGAGAACTTTCTCTAGCTAATATCAACATGGGAGCAGCATAATCAATTAAGGACCTAACATAGGCTATGTACATCATTCTCAAGATTCTCACTTTAGCACCATAGTTGGTGGGGTTGTAGCCAGCAACAGCTTTGGGAGCATTTAGCCTAGCTTTGCATTTCTTATTTAGTTGTGGTATAGTGGATTTGTTAAGATAAACAACACCATTGTACCAAAAATATTACTGGGAAATACTCTAGCCTAACAAGCTCAGAACAAAGAAATACTAAGACTGCAGTGAACCAACAGGAACGAAAATACTCTAGATTTAATCTTTGGAAACAATGAGATATTAATCAGACATAACAGTCTCGAGTATAATAAACTCTGATTATAATCTTATCGAAATGCAAACAAGCTTAAATTCATGTGTGGATAATTAAAAAAAAACAACAACAACGGGAGATGTTTACTAAATTAAATTTTAAGAATCCAAGAAATGACTGAGATAAACCAACACTCCATAAGGAGCCATTCTGATCAGTTTCAGCCCAGAATAATATATGGAAAGCTGAATGAAGAAACGTACAAGACGTTTAAAATATATCCCACTGAGAAAGCTTATATGCTGGTAAAATGTCACTAGTTCGTGAAATCAGTGGAAGAGGGGAAGGCTGGCAAGGTAATTTGTATATACAAGCTCACATTTTTAATCTTTCAATATATACTAATTTCAAGTTTTGTCAGCCTTATGTATCAGCACTTTTGTGAACGTTTTTGTCAGTTTCATATTCAACCATAACTTAATTGATGAAGCTAAACATTATGATGGAGGCTGTATGTATGATCAGTCTCCAGTCCAGTACCTTATTCGTCCTAGGAAGGTTAAAGTCTTTTTTAAACATGGAATTGGAAGGGAAGTCGTATTCTTTTAGTCTGGGGTTGACGAGCAATGGCGAGCATCGTAAAAAAACAGGAACCTTTCCTTAGAGAGGGATAAAAATCTGCTGAGAGGACAGAACACATTATAGACATCAGTGTTACCGACCATGGTTTGGAAATCGAAATTTTTCCCAGAATATCTTAAAACCAATAGCATTAAATCCAAGTGCGACAGCACACTCAGTGTGTCTGGTGATGACTTGCACTCCTTGTAACGTGCTCAGTGATGTGTTGGCTGGCAGGCACCAGTTAGTGCTTCCAGGGTGGCAGGCACCAGTTAGTACTTCCAGGGTGGCAGACACCAGTTAGTGCTTCCAGGGTGGCAGACACCAGTTAGTGCTTCCAGGGTGACAGACACCAGTTAGTGCTTCCAGGGTGGCAGGCACCAGTTAGTGCTTCCAGAGTGGCAGGCACCAGTCAGTGCTTCCAGGGTGGCAGACACCAGTTAGTGCTTCCAGGGTGGCAGACACAGTTAGTGCTTCCAGGGTGGCAGACACCAGTTAGTGCTTCCAGGGTGGCAGACACCAGTTAGTGCTTCCAGGGTGGCGGACACCAATTAGTGCTTCCAGGGTGGCAGATACCAGTTAGTGCTTCCAGGGTGGCAGACACCAGTTAGTGCTTCCAGGGTGGCAGACACCAGTTAGTGCTTCCAGGGTGGCAGACACCAGTTTGTGCTTCCAGGGTTGCAGACACCAGTTAGTGCTTCCAGGGTTGCAGACACCAGTTAGTGCTTCCAGGGGGGCAGGCACCAGTTAGTGCTTCCAGGGTGGCAGACACCAGTTAGTGCTTCCAGGGTTGCAGACACCAGTTAGTGCTTCCAGGGTGGCAGGCACCAGTTAGTGCTTCCAGGGTGGCAGACACCAGTTAGTGCTTCCAGGGTTGCAGGCACCAGTTAGTGCTTCCAGGGTGGCAGGCACCAGTCAGTGCTTCCAGGGTGGCAGACACCAGTTAGTGATTCCAGGGTGGCAGACACCAATTAGTACTTCCAGGGTGGCAGACACCAGTTAGCGCTTCCCGGGTGGCAGACACCAATTAGTGGTTCCAGGGTGGCAGACACCAGTTAGTGCTTCCAGGGTGGCAGACACCAGTTAGTACTTCCAGGGTGGCAGACACCAGTTAGTGCTTCCAGGGTGGCAGGCACCAGTTAGTGCTTCCAGGGTGGCAGACACCAGTTAGTGCTTCCAGGGTGGCAGGCACCAGTTAGTGCTTCCAGGGTGGCAGGCACCAGTCAGTGCTTCCAGGATGGCAGACACCAGTTAGTGATTCCAGGGTGGCAGACACCAGTTAGTACTTCCAGGGTGGCAGACACCAGTTAGTGCTTCCCGGGTGGCAGACACCAATTAGTGCTTCCATGGTGGCAGACACCAGTTAGTGCTTCCAGGGTGGCAGACACCAGTTAGTACTTCCAGGGTGGCAGACACCAGTTAGTGCTTCCAGGGTGGCAGACACCAGTTAGTACTTCCAGGGTGGCAGACACCAGTTAGTGCTTCCAGGGTTGCAGACACCAGTTAGTGCTTCCAGGGTTGCAGACACCAGTTAGTGCTTCCAGGGTTGCAGACACCAGTTAGTGCTTCCAGGGTTGCAGACACCAGTTAGTGCTTCCAGGGTTGCAGACACCAGTTAGTGCTTCCAGGGTTGCAGACACCAGTTAGTGCTTCCAGGGTTGCAGACACCAGTTAGTGCTTCCAGGGTTGCAGACACCAGTTAGTGCTTCCAGGGTTGCAGACACCAGTTAGTGCTTCCAGGGTTGCAGACACCAGTTAGTGCTTCCAGGGTTGCAGACATCAGTTAGTGCTTCCAGGGTTGCAGACACCAGTTAGTGTTTCCAGGGTTGCAGACACCAGTTAGTGCTTCCAGGGTTGCAGACACCAGTTAGTGCTTCCAGGGAGTTAAGGAGAGGCCACTAACACACCACCGTCCATGATGCACATGTTGAACTGGCCACATCCTTGCTGACACTTGTAATTAATGACTAATCTAGAAAGGAGAGAGCAAGAGGGTTCTGTCTCTTGTCCATCCTTCTATTTATTCATTGACTCTTGTTTATTACAACTTAATATATATACAGTATAGAAATAGACAATTTTAAGTATGTACGTCAAGTAGTAATAACATCTACCCTACTATTATGTATTGATGTAAGTTGAAAATGAAGATTTATTATTATTATTATTATTATTATTATTATTATTATTATTATTATTATTATTATTGTTATTATTATTATTATTATTATTATTATTATTATTATTATTATTATTATTATTATTATTATTATTTGGGAACATACTAGGTTTTTAATTTCAGCTTATTACGAAAAATAATACATTTTTAATGGTAATACATGTAAATCATGAATTTCGGAGATGTAAGAGTGGTGTGTTTTTAATTTATTGATTTAAAAAATAATAGTTGGGTTTATATCCTTTTTTGTAACAGTAGTGGTTTAAATAATTTTTATGACAGTAGTTGTTTAATTATTGTTTATAACAGTAGTGGTTTAAATAATGTTTATAACAGTAGTGGATTTATATACTTTTCATAACTAGTGGATTTATATACTTTTTATAGCAACTGGTTTAGATATTTTTATAAAAGTAGTGTACACTTATATACTTTTAGTAAGAGTGGTGGGTTTATATACTTTTAATAAGAGTAGTGGGTTTATATTCTTTTAGTAATAGTGGGTTTATATACTTTTAGTAAGAATAGTTGTTTTATATACTTTTAATAATTGTGGGTTTATATACTTTTAATAATAGTTGGTTTATGTACTTTTAATAATTGTGGGTTTATATACTTTTAATAATAGTTGGTTTATGTACTTTGAATAATAGTAGTGGGTTGAAATACTTTTTAACATCGGTAGTAATATAATAAGGTACTGAAGAGGTCATGGCAGCAGATTTAAGTAGACCGTATTTGTGTCAGGTGAAACAATGGCTGGATCAAGGCTTTACATAGTTAAGTATGTTAAGAAGCAACAGGTATTTTCTTAGCAAAGAGAATTCTTTATTGTGAAAGAGTGTGTGGGAGAGTAGGCTCCTCCCCCTTGGTCATCTCCTTATTCCCGTCTTTTTTACTTGTTTTGGACATTGTTCCCCCTTTTATTGGTAGTTATTATGTTTATATTAATGGTTGTAAAGTTGTATGAAAGTAATATACTTGTAAAGTATCCATTATGAGGTCTGCCATAGCAAAATGTTGGTTGGCAACCCAGCTGGTGTCAGCTACCCCCAGCACCACATTTTTGGCCTTCCGTCACCCTTTCGTAAGGCTCTAAATAGACCACCCGCCCCTGACGTTAATCGAACCCTTCTTCAGACTGCTGGAGGGTGCGTAATGTCCTGTGCTCGTAGACAAATAATGGACCACTGTCTTACTCTGGGGATGGAATGTATATTTTATATTCAAGTCCATGTATTTATTCTGGTTAGACACAAATGATATGGATATTGTGGTGTTAACACTTGTTGTCATCGTAAGACCTTCACTTGTCTTTGGGAGATATTACTTTGTTGACAGCTAGATAAGGTACTACGTATATCAACCATGGCTTGTTGTTATTTACATATATTCCGTGGTATAACCCACAAATGTTTTATATAATTTTGTCGTCTGCTTTTTCGTGATTGCTCTTGCATGAGTAAGAACAGGTAGCCAATGAGCGTGCGCAGCCAAGTCACGTGACTAGATTTTGCCCAATCACAGCGCAGCTTGCAGGCCCATTCACCCAAGGTTGGAGATGTCATGAATGATGCATATGTGGAGGAGGACAAGAGATCTCCGAAAGAACAAACCCGTCGTGAAATTATTATCGGCAGATGTATCATATTAATTGTAAGAAAGAAGATAGAGGCATCAATGTGGAAAGTGTGAGTGCAGTAGAGAAGTAGAGAGAGTAGTGCGTAAAGTAGGAAGTTTGCTCCGTGACTGGTGGTCACTGCGGGTGTATCCGTGTGTGTGTATGTGTGTGTGTGTGTGTGTGTGATGGCCACCACCACATTGATCCATATTGTCCCCACTCTTGCTCTTTGTAATCCATGCCAGGTACGTTCTCCCTCCCATCACACCTCACATACACTCCCCCGCTTGCTGTACAGGCAAAAAAATAGCGAGGAGGACCAGGAGGAGAGGCAGAGGCTGGGATGTTTTCCTTTGTTTTCATGGGGGTGGGTTGAGGGGTGATGGCTGTGCTCACCTCTACTCTCAACTTGTCCACTTGTTTCTCCTCATCCTCGTGCATTTTTTCTGGTCCACAGGTGTTACACCTGCACCAGCTGGGTCAACTGGCTCCTTCCTTGTAGATGGCATTGTGTAGAGGGCAGGTAATGACTAATTTGAGACTGGTTGTAATCTTGCCCACACTAACACCTCTATGTATAGAAATAATTACTTTACATATACGTAATGCAAATACTGGTTTATATTTATGTACATGTAGTGATGTGGTGAGCGGGAACTTTTTATTAACCATCAACAGCTCTTATTAAGGTTTTTTTTATATAACAGTGACTGACTGGGGTTATTCTAGATAATTTACATTATGTATAATTGTATTTACATGTACCTGTGCTTAAATAAACTTATCATATTATCATTATGATCTGGTAGTGAGTGATATCAGTTATCTATCATAGAGGCAACTGTGAACATATCTTAGTATTGGATATAATAACTGTATATAAAACTGATATATATTGTTTTTTCCATAGTTTTATGGCAGAAACAATGCTCTTTTTCTATGCAAGAAATCTTTGCAATATGTATCTTATTGGAAAATAAATGATTTACTGCTAGGTGAAGACGGGCAGTAGGTGTAGGGAGACTTGCTTGGGTTAGCCAGTGTTATTTCTTCAACTTAGCAAACAGATGATTTAGACCTCTGATAACCTAGTCCTAGTACTAGCAGGCTAGTAGGCTACTCAGAGTACTATGCCAGCCTTACTGTGACAGTACATTAATGCTCAACTCATCTTGGATCCCAATGAAAATAGTCATTTTGACTTTTGCGTTATCCTAGGTAATCTACATATGCTGCTATGTATGATAATTTACGTAACTGTTTATGTGTACCTGTACCTGAATAAACTTACTCTGGACTTAAACTTGGAGTAATACTAAAATTGTATTACACATAACAGTATATAGAAATGTATGATAAACAGGTTGTAAACTGTATATAAATGAAACTTTGTGAATATGTTTATCATATACAGTATATAACAAGCACATAATAGGTTTAAAAAAAATTTTAATTGTATTTTTTTTTTTTACAGTTATGGACTTACACATGGAATATAAAATTTATTTTTTATTTGATGTCCATGGGCTCTATTTCAGCTCTCTAGAAAGAATCTTAATTCCATGTTAGTAATAGTATGGTTTATTGTCCTAAGATGTATAAGATGAATAGTAGATCACATTAATGGCTTGTATGTTTAGTAAATTTAAAGCTTTGAAAAGAGGTGGTTGTGTGTTGTCTGTACCTAATATTTATTATAATGTGACTGCCTTATGTTGTATGATAATTGGTTTAAAATGGTTAGCAGTTATTGGTTCCCATGTACAGTATGTGATATGGCATAAGCAGAGTCAAGGTAGGTACATATAGCAGATGTTCGAGAGTATGTTCACACCTGGCTGATGTTTGTTTTGAGTTGCATCCTAGGGGGCAAGAAGACCTAAGAATCCCAACAAAAATGAGCCATATTGCTTGGCTTTTTTGGGTTATCCTGGGTTATGAACTGTACTATCTAGAGTAAATAATCTGAATAGTCTTAATAACATTATTATGATTTGGCCATTTATAAGCAAAAGATAGTTCGGTTCTTAATGGATAAGTTTTTAATTTAACCCTTCCATGGTCCAGAGGCCAAATTTCAAAGGTGTGCACCAAGGTCCAAGAATTTTAAAAAAAATTTTTTATTTTTTCTTATGAAATGGTAGAGAATCATTTTCTTAAGGTAATAAAACAAAAAGTACGAAATTTGATGGAAAATTGACGAAATTATGCTCTTGCGAATTTTGATGTGTCAACGATATTTACGCATCGGCGATTTTACCGATTTTGACTCCCATTTCAGGCCAATTACATTATTCCAGTTGACCAAATTCTTAGCTATTTCACTAGTATTACTTCTATTCTATCGATTGAACACAAGAAATTGCCAAGTCAACTGTTTCAACTACAAAATAAAGTGATCGGAATTTGATAATTTGGCCAATTTAACACAAAGTTCAAAATATTCCAATTTCAAAATAGGGTCCAGAATAAACAATGCAAGCATTCCTGGCACTAAACTAACATTTCCTCTGTTCATTAGTTACATTTTCAGGCTTTACAAATGAATTCCATTTTGATTTTTTATTCACACAATGAATTTTTATTCAAACCAAAAATAGAAGATTTACTGTTATGCAATATTGTAATAATTGTATAAATATCATCACCACATTTGTGAACGTATATTAGACCCACCAGCTGGCGTGTATTAGACGTGTGAGGTCGTTTGTTTACTCTTGAACATTGGCAAAAAATTTAACATTTCGGCTACTTTGAGCTCAATCTAAAAGCAATCAAAATCATCTCTATTTCTGTAATATATCTTCCATTCTATCAAATGAGACCAAGAAATCGCAAATACAACTACAAAAAAAATATGAAAAAACACTGCAAAGTTGGTGTTTTAATCGAAAATTAGTCTCCGTTTTTTCCTCTCATTATGCACTGTGCTACAGGATTTGTTTTATGTGGTGCACACATACCACATAAATGTATTCTCTCATATCTAGGCCCAAATTTTCCACTCATAGCTGATCAGAGTGAGCTGAGCTCATGGTGTAGATCTACGGTTTGGGCCCTCAACTCAAAGCCGTAGAACTATGACACAGACCCTGAAAGGGTTAAATTTGGTAAAATTGAACATTTAAAATTCTTATTCTCAGTTTTATGATCTAAATACAGTGGACCCTCAACCAGCGATATTAATCCGTTCCTGAGAGCTCATCGTTAGTCAAAATAATCGTTAGTCAAGTTAATTTTCCCCATAAGAAATAATGGAAATCAAATTAATCCGTGCAAGACACACAAAAGTATTGAAAAAAAAAAAATTTACCACATGTAATATTAATTTTAATACACACAAACTGAAGATTACATGCACAGTTACATGACACTTACCTTTATTGAAGATCTGGTGATGATTGATGGGATGGGAGGAGGGGAGAGCGTTATCTTCTTACTGTTTAGAAGGGGAATCCCCTTTCATTAGCACTTGAGGCAGCAAGTCTTTTTCTGGGGTTACTTCCCTTGTTCTTTTAATGCCACTAGGACCAGCTTGAGAGTCACTGGACTTCTGTCGCACAACATATCTGTCCATAGAGGCCTGTACCTCTTGTTCCTTTATGACTTTCCTAAAGTGGTTCACAACATTGTCAGTGTACAGGTTGCCAACACGGCTTGCAGTAGCTGTGTCAGGGTGATTATCATCCATAAAGCTTTGCACTTTAAGCCACATTGCACAGATTTCCTTAATCTTAGAAGTAGGCAACTTCTTCAATTTCTCTCTCCCCCTCCTCCGAAGTAGTTTCCTCAGGTCTGCCCTCTTGCTGTTCAAGATGATCTAGCAGCTCATCAGTGGTTAGTTCTTCACTGTCCTCCACCACCAACTCTTCCACATCCTCCCCACTAACCTCCAACCCCAAGGACTTCCCCAATGCCACAATGGATTCCTCAACTGGCATAGGATTCTCAGGGTTAGCCTCAAACCCTTCAAAATCCCTTTTGTCTACACATTCTGACCACAGTTTTTTCCAAGCAGAGTTCAATGTCCTCTTAGTCACTTCCTCCCAAGCCTTACCTATAATGTTTACACAATTGAGGATGGTAAAATGATCTTTCCAAAACTCTCTTAGAGTCAGTTGAGTTTCTGAGGTCACTACAAAGCACCTTTCAAACATAGCTTTTGTGTACAGTTTCTTGAAGTTGGAAATAACCTGCTGGTCCATGGGCTGCAGGAGAGGAGTGGTATTAGGAGGCAAAAACTTCACCTTAATGAAGCTCATGTCCCTAGAAAGTCGCTCTGCCACATCTGTAGGGGGACCAGGGGCATTGTCTAATACCAGGAGGCACTTAAGGTCTAATTTCTTTTCAATTAGGTAATTTTTCACATCGGGGGCAAATGCATGGTGTAACCAGTCATAGAAAAAGTCCCTAGTGACCCATGCCTTACTGTTTGCCCTCCACAGCACACACAAATTAGCCTTGAGGACATTGTTTTTCCTGAACACTCTGGGGGTTTCAGAGTGACACACCAATAAAGGCTTCACTTTGCAATCACCACTAGCATTGGCACACATCAACAAAGTAAGCCTGTCTTTCATAGGCTTATGTCCTGGGAGTGCCTTTTCCTCCTGAGTAATGTACGTCCTGCTTGGCATTTTCTTCCAAAACAGGCCTGTTTCGTCACAATTAAACACTTGTTCAGGTTTCAGTCCTTCACTGTCTATGTACTCCTTGAAGTCCTGCACATATTTTTCAGCCACTTTGTGGTCCGAACTGGCAGCCTCACCATGCCTTATCACACTATGAATGCCACTATGCTTCTTAAATCTCTCAAACCAACCTTTGCTGGCCTTAAATTCACTCACATCACTGGTTGCTGGCATTTTTTTAATTAAATCGTCATGCAACTTCCTAGCCTTTTCACATATGATCGCTTGAGAGATGCTGTCTCCTGCTATCTGTTTCTCGTTTATCCACACCAATAACAGTCTCTCAACATCTTCGAGTACTTGCGATCTCAGTTTCGAAAACATAGTTGCACCTTTTGCAAGAACAGCTTCCTTGATTGCCGTTTTCTTGCCCACAATAGTAGCGATGGTTGATTGGGGTTTATTATACAACCTGACCAGCTCAGAGATACGCACTCCACTTTCATATTTATCAATGATCTCTTTCTTCATCTTCATAGTAATTCTCACCCTTTTTGCTGTAGGGTTGGCACTAGAAGCTTTCTTAGGGCCCATGGTGACTTATTTTGCAGGTG